CGTGCAGCTTGTGAGTCAGGCCTGATCCTGATAGGAACAGTAGTGATTGACTCTGCAGATTGTCACAGCTGTTGGCAAATCCCTCTCTGAAGTCCATGATCTTCATTCCCCTTGGTCTGATTCTGAGGCTGTTCATCTCCCTGGTTTGCTCCCCGGGGGATATGGCGAGCCAAAGAGCATCTGTGCTCTCCTCTGGGGCTTGCTGCCATGGGGGCAACCTGGTCCCAGCTTGCCTCACTTGTGTTTGCCCCTGCAGCTGGACATGCCTGGGGACATGCCCCTGCTGGTGCCACCTGCACGAGGCAGGAGCAGGGCTGGGGCTGGGGCGCTGACACTCTTCCTGCCAGGAGAGCTGCTATCAGACCATCTTCACCTGCAGTCAAACAGCGCAGGTTTCCCCTGGTTTCTCTTTATCACATTGTCAAGTACCCCATACACAATCATATTAACAGTGACAGCTAGAGCCCACACAAAGCATATTTCTGCATTTAGGTTCCCAGTTTTAATCAGGGAATAGCAATTGGTACATTCCTGATCTGGAGACAGGTTGAAGGCAGCAGGGTGTAGTCATGAGTGAGCACTTCCCTGTCAACGAGCAGGGTACAGCCACCAACTGTCTGTTCATGCTGTGTGTACTCCCTCACACAGCAGCCGTTCTCAGAATTGTATTGCGGGGACTTCGCTGCGGTTTATTCACCATCCACATATAGGGCCGCAACGGTAATAACGTAATGTATGAAGTTGAAATGGTTCCTGGCACAATGGCTGCTAAAAGGATCATTATTCACAGATTTCTCAGATCTCTTTTGTTCTGGACACCCTCACATCCCTCTCTGAGCAGGGGTGCAGTTTCATTCTCTTTAAACCAGTCCCCCATAAACAGTTTCTAACCGTTTGCAGAGTCTGAAGGGTTTGTGCCCACAGGTCTGGCACACACAGTCTATGGGAGCTGTGCTATAAGCTCCAATAAGATGTTTGTTGGAGTGTTGTCCTGGTTTCCCTCGGTGAGGTTGGTGCAATAACTGATCACTGCAGTTATGGGAAAAGCCTGTTTACTGGCCCATCGTCACAGGGCTCGCACTCCAAGCATGTTTCCAGATGAGTTCACTGGCCTGAACGTTTCCCCCTTAGCTCAATAGGACTTTCCAGAGCTCGCTGCAAACATCACCCCCTCCCCCAAGCTGCTCTCTGAGCAATCACAGGCGCTGGTCCCAGCCAGCATCTTGCAGGGTGATTTATTTCAGCCAAGCTTGCCTTTGCCCGCACCAGGTTTCATTATCTGCAATTCCGGGAGGTCACAGCGATTACGGGAAAAGCCTGTTTACTGGACCATCATCACAGGGCTCGCACTCCAAGCGTGTTTCCAGATGAGTTTACTGGCCTGAACGTGTCCCCCCGGCTCAACAGGGATTTCCAGAGCTCACAGGAAACGCCCCACACAGCTGCTCTCTGAGCAATCACAGGCACTGGTCCCAGCCACGGCCCCACACAACTGCTCTTGGCCCCAGCCCAAACTGATCAAGACCGCCACAGTGACGCTGCCCCAGGAAGGCACGGGGGAACAACAGGGCATAGGCACCAATGGGGCGCACACACACACGCGCACCGTTGTCACAACATAGGCTGCCTGAGGAGCGGGCACTGAGCCTCTCCAGTCGCGCCTCCTGGGCCCTGCACGGTTTGTGTCTGTAACAGAAGTGCTGTAACAGATCCACACATCCGTGTCAGCCAATGGGAAATCGGGCAGAAATCATCCCGCTCTGCACCGAGGGGAGTCACGCTCTAACAGTTGGTCTCTGGTAATATGGGCAAACGTCCGTGATGGTGCCAAGCGTCCTGCCTAGAGCAAGCAAACCTTCCAGCCCTGAGCAGGGACTGCCTGGGCCAAGGTTACTCTGCTCCAGAGCCAAAGCGGCGACAAGGGTTGGGCTGAGAGAACAAAGTCCCTGACCCTGCACGGCCCCAATTTGTGTCAGCACTCCTCAGAGGAGCTTCCATGCTGGCAGGGCTCTGCCAGGTGATCTGGGACTGGTGGCATGCAGACTGGGACATCTGAGGCCTGCATAGAGCACAGCGGAGGCAAGAGTCAGCCCTGTGCTCCCCAAACTGCTGCGCGTGTTGTGGGGGAGCCATCCATGTCAGCCAACAAGAAATGCCAACAGAAATCATCCCCATCTGTGACCGACCAGTAAAGCCCTACAATGGAAGAAGGCTCAGAGGAGATGGACAGGGGCCGTGTGCCCATGAAGCTCAGGGTATAAGACAGGTGTGACTGAGCACAGCTGTTGCATAGAAAGCTGAATGTATCTCAACACAAATGGGACTGGAGGGTGGCCTTTGTTTTAGATGAACAGCTATGTCAGTTGAGTGGATCAACTAACTATATCACAACTGAGTGGATCAGCTGGTGATGTAAATGTTTCTCCCCGAGTTCATCAAAAGAATGTGAATGTCTTCCTGAGTTAGCCAAATCAGCATGGGAAGGAGTGTGTACATGGCTCAGCCCAGCATACAGTACATAAATGGAACAAGAAAAGAAATTTCAGAGAGCCATAGACTTGAGCTGGTTTCAATCCACGTATTCCTTCCCAATGCCTGGGGATGGCCAGCATCATGATAGTAAGCATATTATAGAGACCAGTAATGGGAATCACATTGGTATTGTGGTTGAACCGCGTGTTGTAATTGCTATATTTTGCCAAGTGTAACTTACGCTTGTATTGTGATTTCAGTATACTGCTGTATCGCTCTGCTAAATCAAAAATCCCATGTAACATCAAATAAGTAAATTTTGATATTAAGCATTACAGCCTCCATATGTGGAATATCTAAAAGATATTCTCTCTGGTCAGAGAATATTGGACTCTAACACCATCGTTTGCCCACTCTGCACCAGGGGGACCCACAGTCTAGCAGTCAGTCTATTGCTCCGGCTGTGCACAAAGCCATGTGCTGTAAGGTCAGGTGTGCTGGGAGAGTCAGTGTCATGGGCTCACCTGGAACGGACACCCCTCAGCATGTCCTGGGGAGGATTTGGACATCCTGGTAAACCTGTTTTTAAGCTTAGGTTGCTCATTAGCAAGTTTTGGCATTTTGGGGGTTATTAAGGAACATTTGCAGCTTGAGAGAATGTGAGGTTCTACAGATGAATATTATTTTCATGTTCTCTGTTACACTCTCCAGGCACCGCCATTCCCAGTCCCAGCAGTTCACCATCCAGGGATAGGTCTGGCAGTGACCCTAGGGTGCTCTCCTTGCCCCACTTTCCCAATAGTACTACGTTCAGGGCAAGCCATGCAGACTTCCGCTTCCTGCTGTGCTCACTTTGATGAGGAGCGAGACCTCACTTTCTTGGCCCAGCGCACAGCTCATGAATGACATCAAACTCACCAGCTTTGCAGGAGCCTGAGTTTCGGTCTGACCCTGAACATACTGGGTTTGCACCTCACTTCTTCAAATAGGTGTTTCAGCGCAGCATGTTAGAGTACATTGACTGACACTTCTCAGGACAGTGAGGTTCAGCATTTATTGAGAGCTCCTTTAGGCCCAACAGTTACATACAAGTACCCAATTAGAGCATTGACCAGCAAAGGTGGGGTTGCACAGCAAGCAACATGAGCAGTTTCCTCACCACAGCAAGATTCAGCAAGACGACACTGGCACCTCCTAGACCAGCTATCCCTCCCAGACCCTGGAGAGGTCATTACAGCCCTGGTGGTCCATAATGATTTCAAATGGCTTTGAGCTATGTGGGTTAATCACCATGTTAACATCTCCATATTCCTTATGGCATTTTGTCTGTCCTCTGACCAAACAAAAGGCTATTTTCTGTTTCATCTTAGATGAGTGGAGTGAAGACAGACAGCCTCTTTGCTTATGCTGTCCTTAACTCTAACATGTGTACATATTTTACAAGAAGAAACAGCTGGGCCACATGCTGCTTCCCCCCAGAGCACATCAGGCTAGCCTTACAAAAGGAAGGAGAAATTGTGAGCTTCGGCAGGCAGTAAGAAAAGCACAACAAAGGAGAAGTTTCCGTCTAACAGAATCCTTACCAGCTAAAGGATAGTACAAAACCTTGCAAAGAATGTCCGTTTATCTTTCTCCAGCATTTCTCGTGTGTAACATGGCCTGTCATGGTTAGTTTCTATCATCTTATCAATCTCACTAATCAGCCTTGAAATCTGCTTATCCCTTTGCTCTCCTTTTGCTACATTGCTGAAAGCAATGTACCGGTTTCCGCACTTTTCTGCCAGCCCCTTGAGATACTCACTGCCTTCTATGAAACTTCTGATATCTTCTGGCTTCTCAAGCTCTTCTGCTCGAGTGAATGTGAGGATTGTGTACCTCTGTGCTTCAGTATGCAGAATCTTTGTTATCCACTCAGCTACTTCCATCTCTTCTTTAGTGATTCGGCTCAGTTGCATCACCAGAAGAATGGCATGGACCCCTGAGAAGTGGTAGTGAATAGCCTCTTTAATCTTTCTGGCTGTCTCTTCATTAGCTTGCTTGGTGTCGAAAAGGCCAGGAGTGTCGATAACAACAATTTCTCTTTCCTTGAAATTTCTTTTAGCTCTGCTGCAATCCTTCGTTATGGCATGTGGTGCTATTTTGGAAGAGAATGCTGGACGATCAAGGATGGTGTTTCCTGTTGCACTTTTCCCACTGCCAGTTTTACCCACGAGCAGGATGTTCTGCTGCTGGGAGAGCAATCAGAGACATGTGTCTAAGCCCCACAGCCCAGTGGTGCCACGGATGCTCCTCCCTGAATGCTGCAGGCTGGGGCTGAGGCAGAGGTGCCCTACCAGGGTCCCAGGCGGAGGTGCCCAGGGCAAGAAGCAAAAGTGCCCTCGCATCTCTCCTTGACCAGGGGACCAGGGGACAGGACAGGGGCATGGACTGAAACCATGTCCAGACAGGCAAAGTAAGGCTTGCTCAGCCCCAGCTGATCCTGCCTATTCACCCAGCTCTACCACAGAAGGAAAGTTCATGCTTTGGGAGGAACCAAAACCCAGGCAAAAGCTGTCCTGATTGAAAGCCCCTCTGGATGGGGAAAAAAAAGAAACCACAGCTGGAGAGGAGTAGGCTGAGCAGATCCCCCTCCCAGCTCTGGCTACGTACAGGCCACATTTCCTGTCCCATATGTTGCACTTGCAGTCAGCCGGTCTGCGTCTCTTCTAGGGGCCCAATATGCAACAACAGGTATAATTTAGCACTGTCAGAGTGAGGACAGCAGCCAAAGAGCTGAGATGCTGCCAAATAGAGTCCTGGCTCTGTGTAACGCTCCCACCGCACAGGGGCTGTGGTCACCTGTGTGATCTAGATACCCCACAGGTCTGTCCTGTGGCTCCCCCCAGCCCAGGGCCTGCTCTGTGCCCTGTGCTGTGGGGTGAGGACACTCTCCAGGGCTCCAGGTGAGCTGAACCCCTGTGTTGTCAGCACAGGTCTGGGGCCAGGGCAGCATGTCCCAAGAGGCTTTCCCCAGGCTGAGAGCCTTTGCCTGCAAGGCCTGGGCCAGGGCTCTGCTGCGGAACCCTTCTGGATTTGGCATTAGCCAGTCACTGGTGTGACACCCCAGGAAACTGAGAAAGTACTGACCAGCCTCCTGATTAGCCCCTGCTTCCTCTCCAGCCCAGATCCCATGGTGTGGGAAGCTCATGTCCCCATAGCCTGAGCAGGCATCCCCAAGGGCCATCAGTAACAACATGGGGCTCCTCAGGGGGCCTCAAGAGAATCCAGGTCAGTGCTCCCTGAAAGGGCCTCTGTAGTCTTGGGCTGGGGAATGCCCAGTCTTCTTCTGAGGGCACAAGGTGAAAAAAGTGTATCCTGCAGCTACCCTGTGGTCAGGGAGCTTGCAGAGGAAAAGAAAGGTCAGGCTGAGATGAGTCACACTGAGGCGTTGCTGCTTCCAAAAAGACACGTGCTCAGCAATGTACATGCAGCAGTTTATGCTGCACCAGGTCCTCTTCCTGCTGCTGCATGACCCCATCCCCAAGCGTCATCGTGAGAGAGATTTTACCACCCCTTGCTGTGAGCTGGGCACCGCACTAGAACAGCCTATGGGCTCCATGCAACAGGCACAGAAACGACTGGGTTTTGGAGCAGGTCTTTACACCCTACATTGTGTCTCAGGTTGTAACCATTGGACAACAGCTACCCCGTCTGCCCCTGCCCTCGGGCAACACAGTATTAGAAGTGGGGAGGTGTGAGGTAATCTCAAGAAATCCTTAAGGCCTTGCTCTTCCCAAAAACATTATTCCAAGTCCTGAAGTTTCCTCTGCATGCAAATTGCACAAATGTGGATAATATAGTTATAAATGCAAACCTGGGTTTACGTTTACCAGCAATGCACCTAAATGAATTCAAAGAGAAGCAGAGACAGCCTTTGGCTTGCTGAGATCACCAGGTAAGAAACGCACCTGGGGGCATCCTGTCTTCTGCCATGTTGAGTCCAGTTAGGTGGAAAGCCTGAAAGAAGATAGAGAGATTTTAAGCTGTTATTTGCAAAAATCTCCCTTTTTTCTGTCCCTGTGATAACAAAGATGACAAAGACAACCACTGGGGAGTCAGGTGAGCAATACACTCTGTGTGTGTGTGCATGCAGAAAGAGGCAGTTCTACATCCAAATAGTAATTTTTTTTTCTCTCTCTCACGCACATGCACATACACAATGTCACTGTGCACCTCCATCAGCCAAGAGACCAATGTTTCATTCCCCAAGGGCAATCGCAAAGTAGATTTATCCAAGCTCTATGAAGTCCAGGGCCGCAGGCCCTGCCATGCTGAGGGAGGCAGGGGAGTGCAGTTCTCTCTTGTTACATCTCAGAGGCAATCAGTCACAACCAGGGCAGGGGTTGTGTTTCCTAGGTTGTTTGCGCCTCGGAGAGGGGGTCCTTTAGAGCAATGCCTTGGGGACACATTTTCTCCCATGCCCCTAGGAGACCTCAGGTCATCACTCAGAGACCCGCTCAGCCCCACAAAGAGCCAAATTCTCCCACCACTCCAGCTGAGCATAGTGATCCCCCTCAGACACAGACCCACTCAGGCCCAAAAGCCTCCTACCAAACATTTCCTCCTCTCTCCTGGACCACAGCAGGCCCTGCTCCCTCCACCACCACGCTGCCACATGTCCTGCCCCACTGCAGGCCTTCACAAAATGCATCCCACAGGCCCAGGACAGGACACTGTGCTTGCAGAGAGCAGCTGAGGCATGGGCAGGACCCATGCGGCTCTGCTGGGAGAGCAGGGAACAGAGGTGTGTGCTGAAGCCCTGATGCTCACTCTTCAGGAACGACCAGAAAACACGTGTCTCCTATAGGGCCCTTCCTTCTGTACCCCTGCTTTGCCGTGTGCTGTGCTCACCACAGAGCTGGGCAGGTCCTCGGTATCTTAGCTCAAAGGCTCAAACGGACCCACCCATCCATGCCAAAACTGACACAGCCAGCGCTTTGGGGTTTGGTGTTCTCTCCCAGTGTGGGAACCATCCCACTGAAATGGACTGAGTGTTTCAGCCCCCCAGAAGCCCCTGCTCCAGCTGGTTGCACATAAGGACAGATCAGGGCTGCCTCCCCAGAAAAGAACTGTTAGGGTTTGGCCATCTCAATTTTTGTCCTATGTTCAAGGCTGTGTGTGGCACCTCCTCCTTCAGCTCTGACTATGCCAACAGGAACACCTCCCACAGGAGAGCCCAGGAAGAGCTGACCCTGCCTCCTGTGTTCAGGTCACTTTTTTTGGGGGGGGGGGGGGAGGGGGCACAGCACACATCTAAGCCCAAAGTCAAAAGCCAACTCAGAAAAGCAAACTTTTCAGAGAACGAGCAAGTGCTCCAGTCACCTGCAGTGGCTGTTCCAGCAGTGGACTCTATCTTGAATAATTATAGTAATAAAATTTGTTTAAAAAAAGAAGATTATAATACTATAGTCACAGAACTATGATATTGTAATTACTACCAGAGTAATTGTAATAATTAGCATAACATTTGCACTTTAATTAATATGCTATATATATATCTCCCTCATGTCTTATTATTGCTATTATTACTACAGTGGTATAAGTTGTGTCAGTATTATTTTAAAAATCAGTCCAGCATTAGGGACGCTTGCAGACACTAACTGATTTGACAGGGTCCAGTGTCAGTTTCTGCCTGCAGCCATCTTTCCTTTGCCTGAGGAGGAAAGCATCTGCATTTCAGAAGGAAGGTCAAAGGAAGCAGAGAAATACAGTGAAAAAAAATCACAGACAACTGGAGAGTGCGAGAAGTCCCCACTGCATTTCCTAAACACACAAAATACTCTTTTTTTTTTACTCTTTTTTTTTAGCTTAAAGAACAAAGCTTTAAGCACAAGCAGCCCTGTCATAATTTTACATTACTTACTTATAAAAGCAAGCTAGTAGCCACTTAGTCTTAGGATTAAGGCAAAATCTTAGGATCTGTGTGCGTTTCTATTTGGTGCGTTGCTTTTGTTAGGTTGAGAATGGAGGCAGCATTGCTAGCTGTGAGGGTGTCACCAAAATACTAAAGTGAAGTGGTGCCAGCTCTGATCATCTGTCATGTCTTTCATTTCTGATTCAATTTTCACATTCAAACACTGGAGTACAGCTGGACATGCAAGTGTTAAGGCTTGCAGCAGCGAGCTGGGATAAAAGCAGAGCAGTTCTGTGAGACATGCATTGAAATAAAGACAGCAAAGCAGAACAACACATAAAATCACATTTCTACAGCTACATATGATGGAAACCAAGAACTGGGCTGTTATGCATGTATTCATAGGTCCAGCCATGTTTGAGTTTTGCTCTCCCTTCCTCAAAAAAGGGTAGGGGGAGGTAAGAATAAAAGGCAGCTTTGGTACATCTGCAGTGCAGAAAGGAATTAAGGAAAAGTTGGGACAGAAAAACAACTTAACACGTGCTTGGATGAGAGATGGGGTGTTTCTGTTGGAATTTCTTCAGGCAGGGCTGAGCATGACTCCACCCTGGTGAGAAAGATAGCCCAGCCCTGCTGAGAATGCCCAGCAGACCTCCTGCCCTGACAATCCCCTGAGCACTAGCACCGGTGGCATCTTGAACACCATCCCTATTTTACCCCGACCTTAGCAAAGCATCACCATTTCCAGGCTCCGTTTCCAGCGCATACCTGCAAATGAGCATTGGCTGAGCTTTTCCCCTGCGCACACCAACACAATAGCTCCCTCACCCCAAAAGAGAGATCCTTCAGAGCCATTTAACACCCAGATCTTTTTAACCACCATTGCAGAAGTGAAGGCGGGAAGGGCAGTCACTCGAGGCCTATCTCACGTAGAAAGATCTACCTGGTCTTCCTGCAGATCTCCCCTGCTCTGCTCTTACCTCTTCAGGTCACAGCCCTGCAGCCAAGAACGATGCAATTCGTGTCTTACTCGAGAGCAGTTAGCTGGGACAGCATCTTCAGCATGCTACTTTCTGTTTCCTATCAGCACTATGAAAGATGTTTTTATAGAACTATACATGGGAGGGCTGTGGGAGGGCTCTGAGCCATTATCCAACCCAGGCAGCTGATAGCCACAGAGCTGACATTACTCCACCCTTTTAGACAGTCTGCAACTGGGCAGAGCTGCCTCTGAGATGAAAGAGGCCCTTCATCTGCCCATGGCACTGGACCCACTCCCAGAGTGCCTGTCCTGCTAAATTTGCAGGGCTGAAGTTTTTCTGCTACGCAGGGAGCAGGGACTGACCAACCTCCATTTGAGTTTCCCTGGGCTCAGTGACACATTTACAAATAGTTATAAAAGGAACCCTTTTATAGCCCTTAGGACTACTGGAAAACAGCATAATAAAACTGAAGTTCAAAACAAACCATAATTAAAAAAAAAACCTGTGCTAGAGTCTGCAAGAAGAATTTCCTTTTCACAAAACAAGCAAAGAATTAATAATACCTTAATAATCAGAAAGTATGTGAAAGATCCATAGGGCAAATTTGGGGGAAAATAGCTTTAATGATTTCTTTGGATATAAATAAATGAAATTCTTACTAAAGACATTCTGGCACAGCAGAGAAATACTTTCTCATTCCTTTGACCATGATATTTTTAGGATAAAGATACCTATCAGAAGTTAATGACCTAGATATGATCCAGCATGTACTAATAGTACAGACAAACTTGAAAACGAGGAGCTTGTTAAACTACCATTATGGAAATGCAGTCAAAATTTCCATTCTCTGCTGACTTTCTGTTCTCATTTGGAATTATTAGCTGAGCCTTATCAATGCAAGTCATAGCCCACAACCCAAAAATGGGTATTACAACCCTTTTTGTCCCTTATAATACTTGTAAAAAAATAATCAAAGGTACCTGTACACTTTGTCCTGGATGTTGAACTTTGCAGCTTTTGATGACTATAATTTTTCTTCTCCAGACACAATGGCTAGATTAGACATTAACTCTCTCCTGTGAATTGCCACTGTGCATGTTAGAGAGAACGTACACAGGAGATGATTTCTGAGAACAGTAAATCAGCTTCACCAAACACCCTGACATCAATTGATATATAGACAAAAGTTCATATGCAGACCTATTGCTCTTTAACAGCAGAAACTGTTAAATAATCACAAAAATTAGCAAACTGGAAAAATGTCATCTTCTCGTTATGGGATACATTTCAGTTGAGTATTTCTTCTCCCCACTGCTCCACGCCTGCAACCAACACATCAGCTCTGTCTTACCTCCTCCATACAAGAGCAGGGCTGTCAATTTTGCTGGCTCAGCAGATTTAGGAGCCTTTTACTAGAATGAGCTTTGACTTCAAAGTTGCCAACATACCGAAATATAACGGCTCAATTCCGGAAGCCATCAAGTAGGTGAACCTCCAGCAACAGCAGATACTAGAAAATGCTCACACTTCCCATGCAGAAATGCTGTGAACACTGAGATCCATCTAGTGGCTGCTCCTTGAAGGCAGAGCATGTGGCAATCAGGTTATTAGGGGACCCATGAAATGGCTGGGTGGGGCAGAGGAGGGAAGAAGATGCTGCAGCCATTAAATAGAATCCCCTACGGAATCAGGGCTGGAACTTGGGACAGCTGGGATGCCCCAGTCCTCTGCTGCTGGCAGCCAGCCGTGGTCCTGCTGTGACAGGGATAAAGAGGAGCCCTGAGGTGTACAGACAGGTCAGTACGGCAGAAGTGAAGAATCAAAACCTAGTTCCAAGAGTAAAAGGAATGGGAGGGCCTGGATTATTTCCGCTGCCTCTGTTGTCACCAGCTGATGCTGCAAAACCATTCCCACTTGGAGAGAAGTCTGTAGCCCATGTAAACCTTGCCTGAAAAATAACTGCCCAGAATATCTTGCCCAGATATTCTTTCTGAGCCTCCATCATGCTTCTCCCCATTGATCCAAACATTCCCAAGCACCCACTTGAATGAGCAGAACTGCCCTGCTCAATCTATCCCTAGCACAACCTAAGCACCTGTTAAACCAGGACCCAGAGGGTGTAACCCCCTCTCTCTCTCTGTGAGCCCTGCTATAAGACTCCCTCCACCCCTCAGGGTTTAGCTGCCAGAGTACTAAGGATTCAAGGTATAGCTATGATACAGCCCTACTTTGTACCTTTGGCTCAGACTGCTAAGAGCCTTGAGAAAGTCTGCAAGAGAGATAAGGAAGGTGAAACTTAAAGACAGAGGCAGGACTCTTGAGACAGGATCTTCGGTAGCTCAGACATTCAACAAGAAAAACATCATCATGGGAAGATATATAATCCTATTAAAAAAGCAAACAAGGAGGCTAATGAGGCTGTTCGTTCAGGTCAGGGACTAGTCAGGAAACACCATGTCTAGATGGCAGCATTAGCAGTGCTGATGGAGCTGGTAGCAGGCAGCAACTCGGTGATGCTGAGGATTCGTTCCAGGTTGCTGCAGAGGCTGACCCTTCCTCTCCTTACTGATGCCTGCCTAGCCAGCAAAGACTCTCTTGATGCCTTCTCAGGGATGGTGGTGAGCACGTGAACACTTAGCCCAATAGCTTGTTAATTGTAGCTATGTTTTGCATGCATTAGTCAATAAAAAATTGCTTTATGCTCTTAAGTTGTACACGTCCTCCTTACAGAGTCCTTCTGCATCCAGTTTGAGACATCCAAAGAAACCAACTCCAACGAGGGGCTGTAACAAAGAGGCAGGGTGACTTTGAGAGCTCCAACTTAAGAGTATTTCAGTTTGAATAACGCAGAAGGAGAATTAAGAGCAGAGCAAACACCACCAGCAGAAGGCACCGAACAAACCAGGGGCTTTCACACCTTCTGTGCTGGAGCCCAAGCCTTAGGGATTAACCACAGGCTATAACGAGGCCAAACAGGGGCTCCCCAGCAGAGCCCTGCTGTCGCCATGGCAACGTGTACCCCTGGCACTCCCAGCAAGCACCGCGCAGCCGGCCCGCCAATGACACCACCACAACACCCATCACGCGGTTGGGGGCGGTGTGCAACATGGCCTCGCCCGCACCACCTCCGGTCACGTGGGACGTGCCCGGCAGGGAAATCCCCTAGGCGCGCAGGCGCGGGTCACATGGGCATAAGCCGGAAGTCCGGGTCACGTGGTGCTAACGGGTTCCGAGGGGGGCGGGGCTCCAGCCGGAAACGCATGGCGGAGCGCGGCGGGCAGAAGATACTCGCGCGGGAAGCGCGCCCCGGCTT